GACCGGCCCCGCCCCCGACGCGGGGCGGGGCCACGGGCAGACCCGCCCCGCCGGCCTGGGATTCGAACCTACGCAGCCCCTCTCCGGAGAACTTTCGGGGAACACGACAAAAAAAAAAATACACAAAAAAATAACCTTTTTAAAAAGAAAACGGGGGGAGAAGTAGCTTGTATTGATGAGTTTTATCATCTGCCTGACTGGATCCTTCCTTTCCCGGACACTGCGCGGGGCCGGCGGGAAGGAGGGGGCCGGCACGCACCCAGAGAGCTTGCGGGGTGACCCCACCGACCCCCACTACTGCCTGCACCCGCCAACCTAAGAGGAAACGTCATCATAACCAACGACTTCAAAAAGGACACACAAAATAATGATCGAGGAACACGAAACTCAGCATTTTTTCTGTCACTTGGTTCTGCTCGAAACAACAAAAGAAGAGGAAAAAAAGAAAAGGAAAAATCACCTCCACCAACTCACTCGCTCCCGGCTTCATTTACTTTCTTTTTCTTTTGACTTTCGGTTTTTCTACTTTGTTTTCCTTTTCTTTTCTTTTTTTCCTATCTCGTTTGAAAACTGTGGGCTTGGGACTGTGAATTATTGCATGACATTAAAAAAGAACAAAAAAAATAAAAAAAAAGTTGAATCCAACTTTTGGAACGCCTTTGTGACTTGGTCAACGTCTGAAGAGGGTCAGGGAAAAGGGGAGGGGGTGCTTTGCTTAGTTTTAGAAGAGATTAAAATGGCTAGGGGACTGGGGCGGATCAGCTCTTCCCCCTCCCCCAATAGAGGCCCTGGGTCCAACCTAGCCAGTGAGAGATGAGTCTGGTGAAGCTAAGGGTTATTACCCTAAATCACTACCAGCTCTGTCCGAATTTCTATGTAGAGTAAGAGAAATTCCTACGGCCACTGAAGGCTGGAGGCTCAACACCTGTAATCCCGGCGGCTGAGATCTAAGCAACTCGGTCTGAAGCCAGCCCAGGCAGGAAAGTCCAGGAGACTCTTAATTTCCAGTTAACCAGCAAAAAGCTGGAAGTGGAGCTGTGGCTCTAGTGGTAGAGTGCCAGCCGTGAGTGAAAGTTCAGAGGCAGCAACGAGGCCCTGAGTTCAAGCCCAGGACCAGCGAAATAAGTAAACACCTAAATATATATATATATATATATATATATATATACATATATATATATATATATATATATATATATATATATATCATCCTAGGGGCCCCCAAATCCAAAACCAAGGCACTCCTAAGAATGCAGTATCCTGGGCTTGCAGCTGCCTCCAAGGTGAGAATTAAAGAATTCTGGGGACTCACCCCTGTAATCGCAGCTACTCAGGAGGCTGAGATCTGGCAGAAAAATCCATGAGACTCATCTCCAGAAAACCAGAAGTGGAGCTGTGGCTCGAAGTGGTAGAGCACAAGCCTTGAGTGAAAAAGCTCAGGGACGGTCCAGGCCCTGAGTTCAAGCCACTGGACTGACAACAACAACAAAGAGCTCCCGACGCCTTAACTTTGGGGTTTGCAGCCTCTGGGCCATGAGCATTTCAGTTGGGGTAGAGGCTGGTCACACACTCCTGTAATACAGGTGCCCAGATTGGTGGAGGAGCCTGGACGTCATGCGTGAGCGTCGGGTGGTGCTCACAGAAGTGACCGTGGCCTCCGCCTTTACCGGGGTGGGGTTTCCTGTGAAGCCCAGCTTCACGCCGAGTTTGCCTCTCACGTACAGAGAGACAACTCAGCCCAGCACCTGCTGGAAGCCAGGTGCTGAACGGGTTGACAGGAGCGCCTGTCCGGCTGAGCGTCTTCCGAGGGGCAGCCCCAGAAATCGCTTTCAGCCGCCCACACCCCACCCCAAATCTGCTCTGACGGAGCCATCTGCTACACTGTCGCCCACGTTCCACCCGTCCTTCTGTCCCTGCCACCTGCTCCTGCTCAGCCCTGCATCCCGGCCTCGCTTCCGTCTGCCCATCACCCTGGGGAGCTTCCCCCCGGCTCCAGGGCACCTCCCAGCCCCACCCCGCCCTGCCCGCCCCCTTCAGCACGGAGTCTGGCCAGCTGCGATCCTCAGGCCCCCAGGAAATGCTCTGCAGATTACACACAAGCTAGCGCTGGTTCTTTCTTGCTCACAGCTAGCACTCTACCACTTGAACCACACCCCCAGCATTTTGCTAGTTGATTGGAAATGGAGCCTTACAGACTTCTCTACCTGAAATGGCTTTGAACCTTGATCCTCAAATCTCAGTCCTCCTAAGTAGTTAGGATGGCAGGCATGAACTCTTGGCACTTGGCTTGGTTTGGTTTAAAGGTGGGATCTTCTTCTCACCCAGGGTGGCCTTGAATGCAAGGTCTGCTTCATGTGAGCACTGGGATTTTCCAAGTCCTGGCTTGGAGGGGGGAGAGGAGTTGTTTTGTGTGTGTGTTGGTCCTAGGGCTTGAACTCGGGGTTTGGGTGCTTTTAAACATTTGGTTACTGAAGGTTGGCGCTCTACCACTACAGCCACAGCTTTGGCTTTTCGGTGGTTCATTGGAGTTGAGGCTCATAGATTTTCCTGCCCAAGCTGGCTTCACACCATGATCCTCAGATCTCAGCCTCCTGAGTAGCTAGGATGTCAGGCATGAGCCACCAGTTCCTGGCTACAGAAAAAAGTTCAGGGTGTTTGGACACATGCTCCTAAAAGAGAGAGAAAGTTGCATGATCACCCTGGTGTTGTAAAACTACAAGTAAAAATGAATTTAGGGGCTGGGAAGGTGGCTCAGTGGTAGAGTGCTTGCCTAGCATGCATGAGGCCCTGGGTTCAATTCCTCAGTACCACATACACAGAAAAAGCAGAACTGGCACTGTGGCTCAAGTGGTAGAGTGCTAGCGTTGAGCAAAAAGCAGCTCAGGGACAGCGCCCAGGCCCTGAGTTCAAGCCTGAGGACTGGCAAAAAAAAAAAAGCCAGGCCAGGCACTGGTGGCTCATGCCTGTCATCCGCTAGGAGGCTGAGAGCCAAGGATCATGGTACAAAGCCAGCTCCAGCAGCAAAGTCCTCCAGACTCTTATCTCCAAAAAACCACCAGAAAACCGGAGGTGGCGCTGTGGCTCAAGTGGTAGAGCGCTCTCCTTGAGCGGAAGAGCTGAGGGACAGCGCCCAGGCCCAGAGTTCAAGCTCCATGACCTGACCCC